AGAGAGAGAGAGAGAGAGAGAGAGAGAGAGAGAGAGAGAGAGAGAGAATATCAGGATAAACGGAATGTCTAGGAAGAATGCTAAGGTCGTGGTTGGGAGTACAAGGTGGCTAGAGAGGCAGAGGCTGACACTGCCAGGATGCAGACAGGGTTTCCAAACTGACGCATGGTTAATTTGGGTTTGAAATGTCTTTGTTCTGCAGGCCAGAACTTTAGTGTAAACCTGGCATTGGGAAGCAGCTAGAACGGAAGCAGAGTCCTAATTCAGCCGCATTTTGAGCTTCTTGGAAAGAAACCACAGCAGTGAGGGGGCGGTTCTCGGCCAGTGTCCCAGAGCCTGGGCGGTTTTCTTCTCGTGCTTCATCCAGGGACCTGAAATTTCCGAGTAGCCCTTTACCTTAGGTCTTGGAGGGTAACTGCATAATAATATATTGTTCAAACAAGGGCATTCGGAGAACACAGGGGGCAACTGGAGCACAGCAGAGGTGCAGAGGGCGGGCACTCCCTCCCTCCCTTTTGAGACAAGAGCAGATTGGATTGGGTCTGGCTTTCTTTCATGCTAGTGATGGAACTCAGGGTCTTGTACTGGTAGCAAAGTGTTCTACCACTGAGCTACATCCACAGTACCTGCTTCTCTGATACAGCGCCACTGTGTAGCCCAGGCTGGCCTCAGACTCATATCCTTTTGTCCCGGACTCTTGGCATGCTGAGATTACAGGCATGCATCACCACCATGCTACCTGTTTGTCCTTTTTTAAAAACAGAGAATTATGTCTCTTTAGGGAATTCTTTTCTAACAAAATTGTTTTCCTTTCTCTTTCCCTCCCTATACCTTTCTGCTTTGTGGCCTCCCGTTCCCAGAGTCCTGCTTTCTGCTCTCACGTCACACGGGTCCCTCCCCTTCACCCTTGTGTCCCTCTTGTGGTCCCTTGTCTAATTTCAAAGTTTACATCGCCCCCTTATTTACATACATGCAAACATTAACAGTTAGGATCTACATATGAAAGAGAACATGTGACTTAGTCTTCCTGAGTCTGGGTCTCCTAGCCAAATATAATACTTTCCAGATCTACCCAATTTCCTGGAAATTCCGTAATTTCATTGTTCTTTATGGTTGAATGAAATTCCATTGTGTATGTAGCACATTTTCATTATCTGTTCTTCAGTTGATGGGAATCTAGGCTGTCTCCATCTTCTGGGTGCCGTTAATGGAGCCACAATGGCCACGAATGTTCAAGGGGCTCCGTGGTAGGATACGGAGTCCTCTGGTGTGAGCCTAGGAATGGCAAAGCTGGCCATCTAGCTTCCAGTGCACCAAACAAGGAAGGGACTCCCCCCTGTCCCTCACTCACTATGACCACTGGTCACTATGCTTCCCTTTGAGCCTTCTTCTAGGTCCAGGGGATGGTTTTCCTACAGGGCTGGATTCTTCAGCCAGCAATGAGCTAGACAGGCTTATTTCAATTTCTCTGTCATGGCTGCAAGGGTGGAGGGGGTCTGAACACTCACCTTTAGAGCACTTTTCCTGGGCACTCAGAACCCTGTTGAAGGGGGGAATCTTGCCACTCCCTGAGCCAACCACTTTGTGGGGGAGTCTCCCCTGACTGCCCATGGGCCTTAGACAAAGTCCTCGGGAGAGACGCCTACTCCCTTCTCCAGAGGCATCGGCTCCCAGACCCCAGGACAGGTCTGTGGGCCTGAATGCAGCTTCCCGAAGATCACAGAGAGAACTTGCTGAGACAGCGTGTCAGCAGTTACCCAGAAGTCCCTGGGATCCTTAGCCGAGGTGAAGGTGAGCAGGCATGCGGAGGCCATCAGGAACCCAATGCAGACACAAGAACATTTTAGATCTGGATCTCTTGGCCCTGGTCCTTCGCCACTGCACCCCACACCCTGTACAGCACCAGGCACACCGTGGGGGTTCAGTCAGCATCAGCAAATCACCGATGCAGTACGCTCAGGCCTCCAGTGGTTGTGTGTTTGAGCCTGAACCATGGGCTGTATGGGCTCTGAATCATGGGCTTCCAGTTCCCCAGTGAACCCTGGAACAAGAGAGTAAAAAAAAACAATTTTAGAAATTACCAAATCTGGGGGTAGTGGGGGGATGGTTCAGTGGGTGAAGTCCTTGGCCCCAAACCCTGAAGACCTGAGTTCAAATCCCCAACTCTTAAGTGAAAAGCCAAGTTCAGTGGTACCTGGATGTAGCCTCAGTGCTGGGGAGATGAAGAAAGAAGGACCCAGAAGCTTTGCTCGCCAGCCAGTGTAGTCAACTGGTGAGATCTGGGTTCAGTGACAGTCACAGATGAAGACATCCGACATCAACTACCAACCTCTGTAGCTGCACACATGTGGGGACACACACACACACACACACACACCAAATCCTTGAGGGGTTAATCACAGACTATGATAATGTACATCATACTTCAAAAAAGCCGCGAGACAGGACTCTTAATATTTTCACCCTGAAGAAATGTCTCCTGAATGAGGAGACAGATACACTTACCTGGGTGTGAGCATCACACAATACAGGCATGTATTGAGCTGCCACAGGCATTCATAAATATGTTAAAGTCTTACATGCCAATTTTTTAAAATGCCCAATTTTAGCAAATATGGTGACGTACACCTCATCCAGGCACTCAGGAAGCTGACGCATGAGGACTGTTGCAAATTTGAGCTTGGCCTTGGTCCTCCGTCCATTCCCTGTGGCACACAGGGCAGCTGGCCCCTCTGTGACTTGCCTTGAACATCTTGGCGACCTTGGAAGGGGACTTCTCTGTCTGCGGAAGGAAACGGGAGGTGGTTCTGGCGTAGCTCTTCGGGTCGTCTGAGCATAAGCAGAGCGTTGCAAACGCAGGCCGTGGTGGGAGGGGAGGAAACGGGGTGAGGTCCGGCGTAAAGATGTCTGTGTCAAGGGTTTGGCAAAACCCGGATCCACCTTTTTTTGAGGGCCCTGTGCTCACCTGTGGGGTTTGTCCAGTGCCAACTAACCATGCTGTTCAGTGCTGGGCTTGGGGACTGTCCAACCTGCCCTTTTCAGCTGGACACTAGTGCTGCCCCAGAGCTGGCTGTCTTTACTGCAGGGAGTCATCCTTCCCACTAAGAGAACGTTTTCTCTGCATGTGTGAACATATATATCTGTGTTTTATGTGTTTATGGGTGTACATGTGTATGTGTGCATAAAGGTCAGATGACCTCTGATCTCAACATGTCCTTCCTCGTGCACTATCTACCTTTTTTTTTGAGACAGGGTCTCTCTCTGACCAGGAACACACTAATTCAAGGTCAGGGAACCTCAAGGATCAGAGAACCTTAGGGGTCAGGGAACCTTAGGGACCAGGGAACCTTAGGGATCAGGGAACCTTAGGGATCCTCTTGTCGCTGTCTCCTCAATGCTGGGATTATAAGATACCACCACGTTGTTGTTTTTTGTTTTTGTTTTTCTAACTGGGTTCTAGGGATTGAACTCCAGTTCTCAATCACTGAACTGGCTCAGCTATTTACCTAGTCCCGAGCAGGAATTGGCTGAACTGTGTCAACCAGAATAAGAAGGAACACAACAGTCATTCTGTGAGCTGTGTGCTGGCTTCTGCTGGCTTCCCAGGCGATTCTAGGTGGTGACTTGGAGACTTTGCTGCCTGGGGATGGACTGTGAGAGGCTGGGGTCAGCTTTATACTTCTCCCATCCCTGCTTTAGCCCATTGTGTGGTGTCTGCACTGTGCAGGGCTCATAGGTGAGCCGACATGTGTCTCCCAGAGGCTGTAAGGTCTAGAGCCAGACAGTTGCCATAAGCGCTGTGACTGGGGAGTGGACAGATGTCATGGCTGACCTTCACTGTGGACTTGGATTAGGAAGCACCTAGGACACTCGTGCAGCAAACCTTTAAATTAAACGGGATGGGCGAGCCCTGCTCTGGACGTGGACAGCACCACCCCATCTCTAGGGTCTTTGACTGAGGAAAGGGGGAAGAAGAGAAAGCCAGCTGAGCACCAGCCTTCCACTTCCTCTATTCCCTGGTCAGCTGAGATGTGAAGCGTCTTGGCCACACACTCCACAGCCACGAACCCTTCTGTGTCTTCTGCACGATCTCAGACCCTGAGCCCAAATGAATCCTCCCTGTGAGGTGCTCTTGTCAGAAAAGTAGCTAATCCAGCAGAGCAGCCAGACACAGAGCAAGAGCAGAGAGGGAGCCCAAGGCCGGTGGGTTCCTTTAACCAGGGTCTTGAAAGAAAAGACCGCCCCACTGGGCTCAAGTCTGCTTAGAATCTGCTCCCATGCATGCTGTGAATACCGAGGCCCCGGAAAGGCTGCCAGATTTCACAAACAAAAAACCAGGATGCCCAGCTCAAAATGCAGTTTGCATGAGGTGGATCCTAATATGGCATGGGTCCTGCTTTCAAATTATGACACTCACATGTATCTGAACTGAAAAAAATGATTTGTTGTTTATTTGGAGTTCAGATATAACTGAGAGTCTTTTTATTTGTGTGTGTGTGTGTGTGTGTGTGTGTGTGTGTGTGTGTGTGTGTGTGTGTGTGTTTGTGCATGATGTATGTATGCAGATGTTATAGTGTATGTGTGGAGGTTGGGAGACAACCTCGGTGGTGTTTTTACTCCAAATAAATCACACACAGAGGCTTATTCTTTACTTATGAATGCCCGGCCTTAGCTTGGATTAGTTTCTAGCCTTAACTTATCCAGTCTTCTTTTTCCTCTGGGCTTTTCCCATTGTCTTACTTCTGTATCTTACTCTTACTCCATGGCTTGCTGTGTAGCTGGGTGGCTGGCCCCGGGAGTCCTCCTCCTTCTCTGGCTCCTGGATCTTCTCTCCTGTTTCTCCCAGTTTTCTCCCTGTATATATTCTCTCTGCCTGCCAGCCCCGCCTATCCTTTCTCCTGCCTCGCTATTGGCTAGTTCTTTATTAGCCCATCAGGTGTTTTAGACAGGCACAGTAACACAGCTTCACAGAGTTAAACAGATGCAACGTAAACAACAGTAACACACGTGGAAATAACGTTCTACTATACCTCGGTTGTCAGCCCTCTCCTGCCTTGTCTGAGGCGGGGTCTCTCTTGTCCACCACTGGGTTTGCCAGGCCAGGTGGCTCGCAGGGTGCTGGAGTTCCTCCTGACCCCATTCCCCTGTAGAAGTGCTGGGATGACAGAGGGATGAGTTACTGCATCCAGCTTTTTGTGGGTTCTGAATATCCGAACTGGGCCTGCCTGCTCCCTTATGCCCCAAACGCGGTGCATAGTATACACCAATAGTTTTTCTTTTAGTGTAAGCATCATTTTATAGGAGCCTGGTTCTGGGATCTAAAACACCTCCAGACATCAAAAGAGAAGGGTTAGAATCACTGTGCCAGCAACTAGAACATTCTAGAAATCACTGAAGGAGAGGTAGGGGTGAGAATGAGGCCGCAAGGTCACAGAGGTGCAACCCACAGGCTCCTTTTTTGTGGAGGATGTAACTGAAGGGAGTCTGGAAGAAGAGACCCAGCCTGCTAACCTCAGAGCTGGGAGCGAGGACAGAGCCCAAAGGGAGGCATATCCTGGGGTCAGCCCAGCTGCACCCTGCAGCTCTCAGAAGAAACATGGGCACCCCACATCTCTCAGGAAGAGAAGGGGCCTCCAAGATTTCCCAGGAGAAAGAGGGGGTACCCAGCACATCTCAGGAAGAGTGCCAGTATACAGCCTAGGGTCTCCTCTGACACTCCCATTTAGATGAGGGTCCAACCATCTCGGCTCTACCCCCCACCCCCTCCCCCACTCTCCCCACCCCTCCCCCCCATCATCATCCACCTGAGATTTTTAACCCTTCTCTATTCACACAGCCTTCTGCCTTCTCTGCTCCCCACTCCAATTTCCCACTTCACAGCCCAAGATCTGAAGAGGCGCTCGGGGGTGCTGGGGGGGGCCCAGGAGCACTTGAGAGAGCCCCACCTCCCTGGCTGCTGGGGTCCCTCTTGGGTTGCACTCACCGGCTTTTACATAAGGAACTAATGTCTTTTCAAAGCATAAGATCACCCGCCCGTGTTTTGACAGTTTGGCGTTAGTGGAAATATCATTAAACTTTTTGAAAACAAGGGCTTTGAAACTCAATCCCCATATTGTTTACACGGTCGTCCCCCCTCCCCCCGCCTCCCCCCACTGCCACCTTCCGAGTTCGTTTCTACTTGCTTAGGCACAGTGAATTCTCTCTTCACTTTCAGCACTCAAAACAAACACTGGGTCTGCATAGCGGAGGGTGGAAAAAATAACATGTGAGGCAGAACAGGCTTTTGATGCCTGGGAGGACAGGCCCGCTGCAAACCACCTTGGTGAGTCACCTGCATTCTGCGCATACCCCTCTGAGGAACAGGAAGTGTGGGTATGTTTGACCCGAGGCAAAAAGAGTATGTCAGATGTCTAAAGGCCTCCTGGCTGACACCCGCCCCCCTCCCCCCAGCAAGCACCACCTTCTCCAATGCGGCCTTGGCCTCAGGACACTGGTGGACCCAAAGCGTCCATCCCACATCTACCTCTCATTTATTCTCTCTCCTCTGGCTCTGCTTTTAGCAGGCCAAGTGTAAAACGGCCAGAGTAATAAAACTTATAAAAATAGAAGTGTGTGGTATGTGTGTATACAGTGCACACACACACTGTATACACACACACACACACACACACACACACACACACACACACATGCTTAGAAAACAAAGAACGCGAGCACAGTTGGTAGAAGAGTTGCCTAGAGTGCATGGAGCCCTGGGTTCAGGGTCCAGTTCCTAGCACCAAATAAACTGGGTATGGCCATGCAGGTATGGCAATGTCTACCTGCGGTCCCCACACTGGAAGGATCGAAAGTTCAAGATTGTCCTCTGTTGAGGACAGTGAGCAAGAGACATGAGATCCTGTCTCAAAAATTAAACAAACAGAAGAAGAAAGAATAAAGCGACAGCCCTCAGAACGGAGGCTGGTGAGAGTAGGGAGGGGGTGGGGAGTGAGAGTGGTCGGGCGGGGAAACTTGTCACGAGATGTCCCTCGTGGATAGTGGGACTGAGCCTCGGGGCTCCGTTGCTAAGAAGTGAAGTGAAGTAAGGCAGATCAGCTGCCCTGTTCCTTCTCACCTCAGCCATTCACTGCAGGGAGGTAGTCCTTTACACTCTTTACCGTGAAAAGCTGCAGAACACGCTGCAGGAAGGAAGGAAGGAAGGAAGGGGGAGAGAAGGGGATTGAATTGAACTGAAAGCAAGATTTTTTTTTTTCTTTTAAAGAACCGGAACCTCTGAGAACAAGCCAGATGTTATAAGGTCTTGACTGGTAAAGGTTCAGGGGCTGGGGCTAGGGTTCCTGGGAAAGACCTTAGGGTTCTCTTGTGTTTACAGCTTCTGAAAGTGGAGAGCTCACAGGACAGATAGAGAAACAGCTAGGTCCCATAGCTAAGCTCTCTCCACGTGGAGGGAGAGCTTTCCAGAACATCGATAGGACCAGCAGGTCATAGAGAGGGCTGGGGAGTCCTAGAGAGTCTCAGAGGTCACCAAGATCTAGGCTTCCTTAATTAGCTGACCAGTGAGCCCCGAGGAGCTGCTTGTCTGCCATCCCCAGTACTGAGAAGAGAAACCCGTGACAAGTCCTCTACCTACTGAGCCATCCCCAGACCTCTCTCTTCTACTTTCAATGACCCTGGGTAAATGCCTTACAGACCCAGCCAGGCCTCCTGGTCTCAAGGTCAACTGATTGGTGGCCTTAGTTCTCTTCCAACTCAATGTCTTTATCATATACTTTAACATATTCCCAAGGCTCTGAGGACGAGGCCCAGGGCCTCTCTGGGGACAGTTATTATGGGATGGTCTGAGTCTCAACCAGGCTCTGAGATGGGTTCTTGTTTAACCTACCACTTATTCACAAGAACAAATACCCACTCAACAGTGCTCTGTGCAGCAGAGAAATAATCCAACAGCAATGTAACTGATGACAACCCGCGTACCATGTCCTCGGTGATTGTTCTAGGCTTTCTTTAAAAGTCATTCAATCCTCATGCCAGTTCCGAGGGATGAGCACTGCTACCAGCTCCCCTGTGCAGAAGAGGGGAAATACAGAGCTGACTGTCGCCAGAGGGTAGAGCAGAGTTAGAACCTGGGACTCTGCCTCAGAGGTGACATCCTTAAGAATCAGGATTAGGAAGAGCTCTACTGAAGGCCAGGTGCCCTCTTGGCCTTTTGATCCCTGTCAGACCCCGTGTTGAGAGAAGGTTCTCTCTGTCATGTCTAGGCTTCCACAAAGCAGGAAAGGGCATGGCATGCAACTCCGTCTGTCCTACCACCCTGATACCAGCCCAGGCCTGACTGCATGAACTTGAGCTTCATGCAGCTGAGGATTCGGATAGGCTAGAAACACACCCGCCTTGTGTGTTTGGCTTCGATGTGCAAATCTAGCCAGTGGTGGCGGAGGCATGGGCTCTGGCTCACAAGCAGAAGGTATCTTCTACAGAGGACAGTGCCTTCCATGGGATTCCCCCTTTGCCCTCAAGGGATCCTGGGGTCACTTAGGAGAGGAGAGAGCGAACTCCCACAGGCTGCTCAGGTCCCCCTTTGGGTCTAACTCTGCCGACAACAAAACACAGTGGGCCTCTGAGGAGGGGACCATCAGCTACCCTGGTCTGTTTGGTTTTATCCCCCCCCCCCCGCTTCGCGCGCCCCTGCAAAGCAGAGGGAGAGGGAGAGCAGGTCCTAAAGCCCACTGTGGGGGCCATTTCCCTAGACTGTTCTAGAACTTAGTTCATGGGGCAATAGCCAGGCCCCAGTTGGCAAGATCAGCTCTAGGCGAAAGAGAGTGAAGGGCCGACTTGAAGCTCCCTGGGCCCCCAGAGACGCCGGATGGGAAGAAACTAACCGCCAGTTCCGTTCATTTCACAAGCTCACGGCAAACCCCAGAGCGTTGCTTTGTTGCTTAAAAACGATTTAATTTTTGCAATCTTGCAAAAAGAGCGGGTGCCCATGTGAGAACTGATGTTTGAAGAGTGATGTCTGTGAGGTAGAAAGACTGGTGGCCCCTCTCCCAAGAGGGCAGCTAGCAGGCATGGGGGCATGCGCTAGAGTCAAAGCTATATGTGACCTGTCCTTCCCACTTCAGTCACAGGACCTGGTCCCCAGGAGGAGCCAGCTCCCTGCTATGAGACCAGGACAGTCATCTTCCCGAGATTCATCTAGAATTCAGCTGCTTCCTCCTCCTCTGGATCTGAACTCAGGCCTTTGTGCGAGCTCTTTTTCCACGAGCCAGCTCCTCGGGTCCTCAGCCTGCTTTTCTTTGAGACTTGGGATGGGATGGGGGTAGACAAGGCCCAATGGGGTGGCAGGAGAGGCGGGGGCTTCCCCTCAGGCAGCCTGTTCTGAACCACAGCTCAGCCTCAGGTCTATTGCTCAGCTCTGACGGTGACGTCATGTAGTCGGATCTGGGCTCTTTTCTGAAAAGTGGACGCAGTGGTTCTGGTTCCGTGTGGTTGCTGGGACACTAACATGGGACAACTGTTCCATGAAGAACCTCACATGACAATGGGGCCCACCCTGGACTCTGTGAAGGGTTGCTCTCTTATTGTTTTTCCTGTTACTGCCAGCGTGAATAATGCCCTCAAGGTGGCCTCCCTCAAAGGAGTCATTGACCGGCCAGGGACTGTGGGACTTCTCACTCCTCATTCTCTTCTGACAAGGATACATGGCCTGAGTGCCTGGCCCTTCAAACACTCGAGCTTGGATCTCTCTGCAGAGCCCTCTATTTGGGTCTCCTCGAGGGGCCAGTCTTCCAGGACAACCATCCCTACACTCACGTCCCAGCAAGGCTGAGTCTGTGGCCGGATCTCTCTGAGTCTCTTACACTGCAATGAAAACACAGCGCAGGTTCAAGCCACACTCCCCCGAGGCTGCTGGAGGCCAGAGCTACCCAGAGGAGACACACCCATTCCCATATTCAGAAGGCTGAGTGTGCACAGATGATCTAGGTTCTGGTTGTGGCCGGGCACAGCACATGTGCCAATGTCCTCCCTGCAGCCCACATCTGGATGGAGTGGCCGGGGCACATCAGCTGTGCTTATGCTCTGTCTGCCCACTATCAATAAGAGTCATGTTTGCCCAAGGTCATTTGGATCACCCGTGTGTGTTTCCTCAGCCCAAGTGAAAGGACAGGTAGGTCTGGCTGCTCTTAAAAGGACACCCACATAGCCGAGCAGAGGTCACTGCCGTCCACTGCACATGGTCCTGCACATGGATGCCAATTCAGTGATTGGCATGGAAGCCAGGGAAGCTGGGGCAGTGAGCAGGCCATCAAATCATTTCCCATGAGGAGACTGGAGGATTGCTCACTTTGTCAGCAGACGTGGCGGCTGAAGGAAACCTCGCTTTGCATCTCAGCAGTCGCTCCTGAGAACAGCTATCACTCCCTTCTGACCATGAGGGTCTCCGTTGTCTATTTTGGCTGAATTCCTCTGCCCCGAGCCTCCAAGGCAGGGCTTTCTCCCCATCAGTGGATGGACATGGGAGATAACAGCACTTAGTTCTGGAAAAGGAAGAAAGCACAGCATACACAGGTCAGAGGTGAACCACCCTACCTTGATGACCTCAAATATGTGCAGAGTAGTGATAGACAGAAGGAGAAGCGGGGTGCACGGTGACACCGGGGACCTGGTGCTGGGTGCTGTCTTAAAAGCTTACGGCACATGAACTCATTTAATCCTTATCATGAAGTATTACTGTGACCACCTTACAGACGAGGGGACTGAGCCTCCATAATGCAAGACTGCAAAGTGAGAAGGAAGTGAAGCAGCCTGGGGTCAGGGGCTAACAGTCTGTGTTCTGACCAAGGTCTGCGTGCGCCACCTTGACGCGAAGATGTATAGGTGGGCTGTATCCTGCAAAGCCGAGAACGGACTCTAAGCCGGACAGAGAGGTGCTTGCCTATAATCCCGGTAGTTTGGAAAGTGGAGGCTGGAGGACCAGAAGTTCGTCACCCTTGGACTCAAGGCTAGCCTGGGCTATGTGAGACACTGCCTCAAGCACAAAGGAATTGAGCTGGGAAACTAACTTCTCAACCCAGGGCACAGCCATGCGGCCAGTTACTTCCCAGTGGAGAGAAGGCTGCTTCCCGTGTTGTCTCCTTCCCAACGCTTCTCTACAAGAGAGCCAGCCCTCACTCCTGCTCCACAGAGCTAAGTCTCACAGAGCTGGGAAAACAAAGCCCCCACACTGTGCCCCTAGACCGTCCCCAGACCTATTGTGCAAGCTTCTATTACAGCAGCTGTGGAGGTCGCCCTCGCGGTCATGGTTTTCTAACTGCAAAGGAAGAGGAAACCCATGTCAGAAAGAGGGCATTTTGCCAACCCCACATTCACGTGGGGGGACCTCAAATGTGAACTGGGTCTTTGGAAGAAGCTGGGTGCTCCGGGAGGGCGGGGCGGTTTCTCTGAAGGCTGCAATGTGGCAGGGTGGGGACGGTCCCTAGACAACCAACCTGTGGAAAGTGAGGGGTGAGAGGCTGTGGGGATGAGGAGGGAAGGACAGAGGAAACAGGGGGAAAAGAGAGCAACAGAGAAAGGTCTGGCTCCAGAGGGTGACACCTCTCTGAAGAGCAAGGAGGCCACATGGTGTCGAGAGGACATGCCGGGCCCTGTGCCTGTGCTCTCAATAACCTTCCAGGTCCAGTGGAGTGACCAGTGGGTTCTTGGGCAGAAAGAATATGCTGGGCACATTCTCTGGAGTCTACCCTCCAGGCTGTTCTCTCCCTTGCTGAACATCTTGTCTTGAAAAGGCCTAGAAGAAGGACAGAAACCTCGTGGCTGCAAGTTGCTCTCCCAGATGACACTGGGAGGTAAGAGGAAGCTTCAGGTGAAGAAGACAGGACTCTTTTTGGTCTTCCCATGTAGCACCTATACTGACACCATGAGCACATACTTCCTCACGTACAAAAATAGCGTGCCTACCCCATGAAGTGCCGTGGGTGCAGCCCGAGGAGCTGTTTACCCCCTTAAGGAGTACCACATTATCTGGAGGGAGGAAGGGGGTCTCGGCACAATAAACAGAGATTTGGGGGCTGGAGAAGCTGGGTGATGGACAGATCAGAAGTATCTGCCCAGACAGCAGGAAGTATAGGCATTGGGGCCTTCCACACCATAGTGTGCCACGAAACTTCCCAATGAGGGCACCGTCGGGTCATTTCCTACAATCAGCCCCAGAGATCACAGCCCCACAGGGCGATCTCTGAGCCAGCCTGGAAATCATGAGCTGGTGGGAAGTGAAGAACCTTGCCCTAACTAGTACTCAGCCCAATTCAGCACCTGCCCCCCCATCCACAGCCACTAGCCACAGCCGGAGCCCTGCCTGCCATCAAGAGCTGTGTGGCCGAGAGCAGCAGGGATTCCACACTGGAGGCAGCTCACCAGGTTGTGCATGACTACACTCTAAGAACACTGGCCTCTGGCCTCAGACTGTGTCCCACTGTCCCGGCACACTTCACCACAGGAGCCACCCCTTCCTCTGCCAGGAGGCTCAGGACCTCACGGAGGCTTGGCCTGATTCATGGCTAGGAAGCTGATGCCTGGCATTGCTCAGCCAGGGTTCTGTCTCTCTCTCCCTGTCCCACTGCTTTCTCCCCATCATGGTGACCAAACTGTTACCACGTGACCTTGCACACGGTCACCAGAAGCCACTTTTTTCCCATGGTGACACCACACCTGGATGTGCCTCCCTTCCTCCGATGGGACACTATGTCTGCCATGGGGCATCTGGTAAACTGAGGCTCCTGTTCTTGGTGTCTTGGGGCTGAGTTCCAGGACGGGAACCTGACTATGCCTCTTCGGTCTCTTGTCTTCTTAGGACAGACGGCACACATTGCGAAGTAGATGACTTCAGCTCTGAAAGGACACACCCAAGCCCTCCATCGTCGGGCCTTGGTTGACCCCCTCATCTATTAGTGCCTGGATTCTTCATTTGCCAAACAGGCTCAGTGAAACACACGGGGTTCAAAAGAGTCCTGGGTGTGAAGATGCTTTGAAACTCCCAGATCTGGGAAGAGAAGTCTCCTCCAGTGGCCCTTGTTCCACACAGCAGCAGAGGACCAGGTGGCTCACCTGTTTACCATCCTGCGTTCCTGAACTTTTGTCTTATTTGGAATTTTTTTTTAGTGTTCTCAGGACACAGTGTTCACTGGTGACCTTTTGGTCTCTGAACACGTGTTCCCATGCAGACCCAAATCCATGGCTGTCCTGAACCCAAGGGCATACCAGAGGGATAGAGTAGGGAGGCCAGAGTGGCCTGTGGGAAGCAGCCTGCATCCAGACAGCTCCATTAGACACTCCTAGTCTGTAATTTGGAGCCTGAAAAACATTAGCTGGAACTTAAAATAAGTTGGACCTTGTCTCCTGGATATTTCAAAGTCAACTGAAATGGTAACCCAGGGTTTAGCCCAGATTGTGTGGGTGTGTTTAGAAACTGGTGACTTTAAGTGCTCTGGGGGTGTTGGGGGCCTGTGGTGCCGGGCTTCATTGGAAGACTCCCACCTGCTTGGCCTTTCTGGGTAAATTTTTGTTGTCTGTTTTGTTTCAAGTGTGTGCACGTGCGTGTGTGTGTGTGTGTGTGTGTGTGTGTGTGTGTGTGTGTGTGTGTGACTAGAGAATGGACCCAGGGCCTTTGAGCAATGCTCTACCATTGAGCCACATTCCCAGTACTTCTCATACTTCTTACTTAAAGCCCAAGAGTCTCTCTCTGTTTCCAGATGGGCCTTAAACTCACTCAAGAGCCTAGGCAGACTTTGAACTTGTAGTCCTCCTGCCTCGGTCTCCCAGGCAGCTTGCTACAGGCCTGTGCCACCAGGCCTGGCTAGGTGAGAGTTTTAAGAAAACAGAACTCTTTTGTCCCTAGAGATGTTGGCTGCTGCCCGGCGTCCCCAAGTCACCCCTCACTAAAGCCACTGCCTGGGTTCAGGCTCATGCCACGCGGCCGTCCATCCGTCCATCCGTCCGTCCGTCACTCAGTGTGTGGGAGCTCCTGTTGGCTCAGTGTGTAAAGTGGAAATAGGGTTCCCCGCTGGCAGGGGCTTGTGGGGATTACACCAGATAACACACAGTGGGGAGCACGTAGCAAGCACAGAAGCAGCATACACGAAGGCCCTTCCCTTCCACGGCTGCCTCCCAGATGCCTCGGACCCTGAGGAGGAATCCAGATGGGCCCTCAGATCTGCAAAGTTAAAGAAAAGAAGTTGGACAGTACGGGGCTCTCTTCTGGGTTTGCTGCCCACTAGCAAGTGAGTTCCCAGGGGCGCCACATCTGCCCTGCACATGACAGGCCTGTGATGCCAGCAGCTGCCAACTTGAACGGAGCCCATTTCGCATGGGGCTCCAGCAGTGCCAGCCCAGGCCAGCAGTGCCAGCCCAGGCCAGAAAGTCAAATGAGAGTATTAATTAGGCCAGTTGATTTCCCGGAGGCTAGAGGCACAAGATGTGTGTGTGTGTGTGTGTGTGTGTGTGTGTGTGTGTGTGTGTGTGTGTGTGTGCATCTGTGTATGCCTGTGTGTCTGTCTATATATGTATTTGTGTCTGTGTGTGCTTGTGTGTTTATGTGTCTTTGTGCTTGTGTGTATGTGTCTGTGTGTGTGTGTGTGTGTGTGTGTGTGTGTGTCTGTGTGTAGGAGGATATATATATAATCTTCTTGTCTCTTACAGAATCCCCGGAGTGTAGACAACACGGAGATTTGCAGAAGGTGATCCTGCAAGTATCTCTCCCGCACTGAGTTCTCTGTACTTCTAGAGATCCTGCCCAGCTGACAAGTCAGGCAGAAGATTCTGAACTGCTAATGGCCAGGTCTGGGAAGGCAGCTCAGAGGGTGGAGTGTTTGTCTGGCGTGCAGGAAGTCCTGGGTTTAAGTCCCAACACCACCTATGGCATACGTGTGTGATCCAGGCACTTGGGAGGCAGGAGGATCAGGAACTCAAGGTCATTCTTGACAACATAGCACATGAGACTACACACACACAGAGAGAGAGGAGAGAGAGAGAGAGAGAGAGAGAGAGAGAGAGAGAGAGAGAGAGAGAGAGAGAGAGACTAATGACCAATACAATGAGCCCATTCATTCCTCAAGCATTTATTCAGGAAAGCGCCCAGGAGCTCAATACCGTCCTGGCTTTTCCATTCTAATGGCTTGCCTCAAGAAAAGAGTGTGTGTTCCCTGGGCTAGCTGGAGGAATTTACAAAGCAGTCAGGTGTGATGTGAAAACAGACCGCAGAGCCACAGGCCCTGTGTCTCGCTGCTGGAGTCAGCCTCCTTGAGAATGTGGGTCCCTGGCCTCTGCCTCCCTGGTCCTCGGAGGCAGCTTACCTCAGTATCCATCCCACAGGAGCCCTAGGCACTGAAACTGGGGGTGTCTGTATCTTACAGCTGCCTTAGGCCAGGAGGAAGGACAAGGAGGCATTTAAATGAGATGGTTCCTAAGCGCAAGAGGGGTCCAGGGCACATAGGAAGCAAGAAACATTTGGGATCTGACAATTGTGAAGCATGGTCCCAAACACCAGCGGCCTCTACTGTCTCCTACACAGTAGACCCAGGGGATCAGGCAGCTCAAGGTTCCCAGGAAAGGACAGTTCCCTGGATTGCATGGACATTTGCCTGGAGGGCCCTCCCTATTAGGACTCAGCTCAGTACTCCTCTGCCAACACTCAGTTCAGCACCTAGCCTATCAGTACTCAGTTCACGCTAGAGGCACAAAATCTTTTGAATGTGTTCACTCATGAGTGTGTGAATATGTGCTTGTGTATGCTTGTGTATGTGTACACATGTGTATATGTATGTGCATGAGTGCGCATGTATGTAGTGTATGTGTGTGGTGCGTATGTGTATACATATATGTATGTGTGTGGTGTTGTGTGTGTATGTATATATGTGTGCATGTGTGTATGTGTGTGGTTTACATGTGTATGTGCATGTATGTATATGTATGTGTCTGTATGTGTATATACATATGTGTACGTATATGTGTATATATATGCATGTGTATATGTGTGTTTGTGTGTGTATGTGTTTGTGTGCATGTGTGCATGCCTATGTGTATATATGTGTGTGGCTGTATATATGTGTATGGGTGTATAAGTGGCCCGTGTATGTGTGTGGTGTGTGCATTTGTGTGGTGTGTGTATCTGTGTGAAAATGTATGTTTGTGTGTGTGTGTGTGTGTGTGTGTGTGTGTGTTTGTACCATGCCAGGCCTTGTGCTAGCAGCACTCAGCTCAGCACCCACCCTAGCAGCACTCAGCTCAGCACCCACCTTAGCAGCATTCAGTGCAGCACCCACCCTAGCAGCATTCAGTTCAGCCCTTATCACTGTATTTCCTCTTGCCATACACACACACCACCTAAACATGGACATACAAACACACACCACTTACAAATTTATACATATACACACCACTTACACCCACACCCACACCCCCCCCCACACACACACCAAATACATTTGCATAGCAATAAAATGTCAGTCAGCTCAGCGTGTTCCCCAGCAGTCAACACAACAGACCCCTTACAAGGGAACAGGAGGCTCTTTACCTAGGGTTTCTGGAAACTTCTGTCTCCAGCAGACCACTGGAAGCCATGGTCCAAGTAAGTAATGCCAGGAAGGCTCCCTCCCCTCTCTCCAGTGGAAACCCCCTTGTGGACCGCTCCTGCCTGCCCTCCATGCAGACATTTCTCAGCTCGTGGTACCCAGAGAATTCTAAGGCAACGGCCTTTGCCCTGTGTCCTTCTGCTCTAGCTGGCCTTCCCTGTAGCCCAGTCATAACCGACATGAGGGACACGGCTCCACCAAGACCCCTCTGTGCACCTGCCGGGGTTCTGCTGCTGGAGGAGGGACCCCACCTCATCCTGGAGGGATTTCACCCGGCTAGTGGGGTGAAAGGCTCTGGTGCAGGCTGGCCAGGCTGAGGAGACACAGCCAAGGTCTCCTAGGGAGGGCCTGCAGCTTGCTCCAAGGGCGCTCCGGAGGTCTGGCTAAGACTGAGAGAAATAATCCTAGGGCTTCCAGCTTGCAGGCCCACACTGTGTGGTCTCTAAGCCTTTGGATCAGGAGGAAAGTCCTAGGCCAGGGTTCCAGCCACAGCTTAGGGGGCCCAAGTAGAGAATCTCTCGCTGTGGTGAGAAAACTTATGTAAACATCAGTGGATATTTGTGCTCATCTTTGCATATTAATAAGGTTTCTGAGCACTGGCCTGAGGGTTTACAAAAACTTCACACCCAGCCCTGCTCTTGGCACCCAGTAGGAACTCAGTAGGTGTAGCCTGGGAATTCCCACCACATGCAGTGTTTGGCCCAGACCCGCCTTCTGAGCCAGAATCCTGGGACCCCCGTGTGTTCTGCAGGGGAAGCCTGGCTGTCCCTTCACCTGCAACCGGGTCATCTCTCACTCATTGCTTACCGGTTACTGATGAAATCAAAGTGTGAGCCAATCCAAGCCTCACCAGTTTCCCTGTGACTGAGCATGGCAGACCTCTGATAACGAATCTGCCTCTGGTCCCTCAGCCCACACAGGCTGCGCCCTCCCCAGGCTGTCCTGGGCATTTGATGGTATGCCCCATCTAAGTGCCCCTAGAATGTCCTGCCTCTCCCGGGGGAGGGTGTCATTCTATGGGCTTGCAGGCAAAGGCATGGAGACTTGAGGTGAGTTGCTTTAAGACCACAGCATGACAACGGGGCTGGGAAGATTGCCTAGTCATCCAAGTGCCCGCCATGTAAGCATGAGGTCCTGCGTTTGGATCCCCAGCACCCATGTATAAGCTGGACACAGGAGTGAACATCTGTTAACTTGTGGCTGGGGAAATGGAGACAGGAGGATCAGTAAGTTCCAGGCCAGTGAGAGACCCCAGCTCAAAAACAAGGTGGAAACTGAAAGAACGACCTCTGACCTCTATGTAGGTGCATGTATGCATGAGCGTGTGTGTGCGTGCGTGCGTGCGCGCGCGCACATCTCGGAGTGCTGCACTGATGGGCCAACCTTGAACAACATAGACACAGTAAGAAACGGTAACAAGATAATATATATTAAAAATAAGGTGGATCCAGAGCTTGGAAAGAGAGAAAGAGGCAGAAGCCAATCCACACACTGATTGCCTTATTTAGGGTGACTGCTGCTGTGCTGAAAAACCATAACCAAAGCAAGCTGGGGAGGAAAGGGTTTATCTGACTTACACTTCCCCGTAGTAGTTCATCGCTGAAGGAAGTCAGGACAGGAACTCAAGCAGAGCTGGAACCTGGAAGCAGGAGCTGATGCAGAGGCCATGGAGGGGTGCTGCTTACTGGCTTGCTCCTCATGGCTCACTCAGCTTGTTCATTATAGAACCCAGGACTGCCAGCCCAGGATGGCACCACCCACAATGAGCTGGGCCCTCCCCCATCAATCACTAATTAGGGAAATGCTCTAGTCTACAAGCTTGACTACAGCCCAATCTTGTGGAGGCAATTTCTCGGTGGAGGCTCCCTCTTCTCCAGTGACTCTAGATTTGTCAAGTTGACGTAAAACTAGCCAGTACAATGATGGACGCAGGTGCTAGCTGAACATTAAATTCAGCTGGATGGTTTGGGCTCCCAAGAAGCCAAAGCAGAATGTGAGATATGGCTAGGCATGATGTTTATAATGACAGAAGGGTGGGCCCCTTTGGGAAAAGCTCAAGAATGCTCCTCAGAAGAGAAGAAAGGACAAGAAGCATTGGCGAAGATGTGGGGGAAGAGGAACACGTAGTCACTGCCGATGAGAGTGTCAACAGGCGCAGCCGCTTCAGATATCAGTGTGAGGAATTCCCAAAACGCTACAATTACCATATGACCCAGCGTAACCACTCCTGGGCATATGCGCACAGAAGTTACACAGCAGACCAGAACCGGCCTCGGTGTGCATCCACAGATGGGTGGCACATGCATGGAATGGTATTGTATCAGCCACTGCGAAAAATGAAATCATGGCATCTGCAGGAAATGGATGGGATGGGAAGCATTGGGTTATGTGAAATGGCCAGATATAGAAAGATGAACACCACACTTTCTCTCCTATGAGGATCCTTGACACTGATTTTGCCACACAGGCACACACACACACACACACAGGCACACACACACACACACACACACACACACACACACACACACACACGGTAGAGATAATGAATCTAGGAAAGTGTCAGTGAGACAGGAAAAGAGATGGAGTGGGGAGGGAGAAGAGGGTACCGGAGTCCCTGTGACAGGAGAACAGAGGGGGACATTGAAAGGAAGAGGGTGGGTGGGGACGCGGGGAGATGTGGAGAGCGGAATGAGAGAGAGAGACATCAACAAGGGCAGGGTGTGTATGAAGCTGCTGTACAGAGCCCATCACTCTCTGCTGATTTTAGAATCTTCCTCGGGACACCAGGGGAAACTAGCTCCCTTGGGACCCAGAGTCTGCAGAAGGGGAAGCCCTTGCTTCGCTCACTTCATGTCTCTGTTTCCTGGTTTGTTTCTCACACCTGATTCCAGACCAGGGGAGGATGAATTCAGGAGAGAAGGCTCAGACACCCTCTGAACAACCATCCGGAAGTAGGTGGCTCCAAAAGATTAATTTTATTAAGAAATTAGATGTTTAGGGGTTGGCCCATTGAAAGCAGAAGCCGGATGAATGGTAATCCCTGGCGAAAAGGGACTAAGTCAAGGATGGGGACAGTGGTAGATGAGAGGTTCAGGCATTGGGTTAGGCTTTATCGGTGACCTTCTTCCAACATGGTGGCCCTACCTGCTGCTGCAACTGCAGAGCTGCTGGGCTGTGGACTCATCCTAAGTCCTGACTCTAGGGCCTCTCCCTGGCAAGAAATACTAACTGACTTGCCTTAGATTCTTCCGCTACCAAGAAAACTAGGCAATGTGGACAAGGTGTGTGTGTGTGTGTGTGTGTGTGTGTGTGTGTGTGTGTGTGTGTGTGTGCACATATGCTCAAATGCCCAAGGTTGGGGTCAGGTGTCATCCTTCTTGTTCTCAAGACCAGGTTTCCTATTGGCCTGTACCTCACAGATCCAGCTAGGCTGCCTGGCCATTGACCCCCAGGGATCTGCCAGTCTCTTCCTCCTCATCATTGGGAACAGATTCACGTACCACCATGGGGATCTGAACTAGGGTCTTCATGCTTGTGCTACAAGTACTTTAGGGACTGAGGTATCTCCCCAGGACCAAGACTTTCTAAAAGGCATTACAAAACACACAAACAACAAACAAAAAAGCAACCCACCAAAACTGCCAGTGCAATGGAAAACTGAGGAGCTGAGATTTCAGAGGTCGGTGTCAGCAGAGAGGAATCTCGCCTTTACCTTGGCACTCACTGAGTCCTGAGAAACTGAGCAGTTTCCAGAAGGCTGATACATCTAGAATGGCAAAAAAAAAAAAAGAAGGAATGCAGGATTTGTCAAGTGTGAAGAGCTTGACTACCTCCTGCTTTCTGCTCTAACAACCACAGAGGAAAGATCCAGAAAGAGTCAGTCCTGCAGAATGTCAGAGTCATGTTCATTTCAAACCCAAGCTTTGCAGGGCTGAGGCTTGAGGCTTTGTGTGTGCCGGCAAGCTCTCTCTCCCTAGCCATGCCCTGGTCCTAAGCAGCATCTATGAAGAGTTGTGTCCTTGAGTGGGTGAAGGTGATGTAAAATTAAGCAATATATCTAGACAACCCATGAGTCAAAATAGAAATCACAATGGAAATTAGGAAATGCCTTAATGAAAAGATAATAATACCAAAATATATCAACTCTTCAAGGATTCAGCCAAAGCTTACTTAAGAGAATTTACAGCCGCACATGCGTCAGAGGAGGAGAGAAAGAAGGAGAAAACAATGAACTAAGTCTTCTAGAGGGAGCTTAATGAAAAGCAGGAAATGAAGCCTTAGATAGCACAAGAAGGGGACTAACAAGCAGCAGGCGTTGCTGGAGTGGAGAACGAGAGAGAAAACGACAAAGCCAATCATGATTTCACAGAGACTCATAAAACTGAGAAGCTGTCCTGAATGATTTTGTTTTAAAGGACAAAACATGATAATCAATATCAGGAGCAAGAAAGATTCAGCTGTTAAATATGAGTCAATATTCTGAACCATAAGGACAGTGGATTTTATATTTTAGTTGAGAAAGAAATCCTTTCGCAAACTCAACTTCTTAAACTCAACCCATCTGCAGAGCCGTATATCTATTAAGAAACGAAAGTCATAATGAGGAACATTTCCACAAAGAGAACTCCAGGCCTACTGGCTCCAGTGGTGGATTCTTCCAGACATTCATCTTACACAGTCTTTTAGGGAGTAGAAATGATTTAACTCATTTTTGAGCTGTAGTAACATTAAATGCGGCAAAGAAAGAAAGTCTCTAGCCACTCCTGTCTCTTAAGACAGACACAAGCACGAGGTGAAATACTACATCCAGAATCCAATGTCTGTAGAAAGAACAAACACAGCACCACCAACATGTGCTGCCATCCCAGGACTGTGTTCTGAAATCAACCACCGTGATCTACCATGGCAACAAAATGAAGAAGAGGACAGTGATCAGCTCTGCAGATTCAGAACAAGCACTTGCTGAGTTTCAAACACTAATGACAATAATACTGAGAAAAGAAACTCTTTTAGGAAACCAGGAGCAGAATGAAACAGATTAAATGTATTTAGTAGTTATAGACTTCCAGCAAATGTCATATTGGTTGTTCAGCTAGTGATAGGAGGATGCTATCTATCTCCAACTCTGTCTATTACTGCACTAACAATTTTAGCCTTTGCAATAAAGCAGGAAAAAATTAAGATAGAAAAAGAAAGATAAAATTGTGGTTATTTATACACTACATCATTGACTATGTAAGAAAAACACAAAAAAATACACTACACAAAAAGTATCAGAATTAATAAATTAAACAAGGGCTGTTGGACAAAGAATATTTGTCAAAGTCAATTTATGTAGCAGAAGTGAAAAGCAGAATCCAAAAAGGAAATATTGATAAAAATATACTTCAATAACACTTGGACCTGCCCTTCATCATCAGAAACTGTGATGGGTAGAAGGGAAAGCCGTGAACAAGATAACAACAACATAGCACCAACAAATGTCTCAGGTCCAGGAAAAGTAATCAGCTCTTATAAGGCACCAAGAATGTCAGACAACATGTAGAAAAATGGGGAAGTGGGCTGGAAGTGTCATTCCATGACAGAGTGCTCACCCAACAGGTATAAAGCCCTGGGTTTGATTCCAAGCAACACACAACACACACAAGCACAAACACAAGCAAGCAACACACAACACACACAAGCACAAGCATGCATACACACACACACACACCTACATACATACACACGTGTTCTCATGAGGCTGAAGGGGGAAATTTTTCTGAATAAATAGTATTTGAAAGGCACTTCTGGTGGTTAGCTTTAATTGTCAACTTAACACAGCCTAGAAAACCTGGGATTTTCTACATTGGATTGGTTTCTGGGCATGTCTGTAGGACACCATCTTAATTAAGTTAATTGATGTGGGAAGACTCAGCCCACAGTGGGTGGTACCATTCCCTAGGCAAGATGTCCTGAAGTGTGTAAGAGTGGAAAAATTAAGCTGAGCATAAGCAAGCAATCAAGTGAGGCTGTATGCATTCGTTTCTTTCTGCTCTTGCCGTGGATTTGATGTGATTAACTGAAGGTCCTGTCCTGACTTCCCCACAATGATGGACTATAACCTGGAATTATTAGCTGAAATAAATCCCCTTTGCTCTAAGTTGCTTTTTATAAGAATTTTATCATAGCAACAGAAATGGAGTTAGAATAACCTTACCCTCGGGGAACATCAGAGAGACAAAGTCAAGAATACTACTCAAAGTGGCAAAAGATGAATGAACAACACAGTGTTGATGAGGATACATCCCAACACCCTCATACATGCTCATTGGCTGAGAACTAGTAGAGGAACTCTGCAAAGCTATTTCTCAGTACGCACTGAGCTGGGGGCATGCATGCTCTGACCCAGCACTGCCACTCCTTGGTATACACCATGCAGACGTGTTCACACCAAAAGACGGGTACGAGAAGGCTCTAGGAGCACCATTTGATTAAGAACAAATCTAAGTGTATCCAAATGACCAGTGATAGAAACATGTATAAGTAAATTGCAATCTATTCATATCTTGTATTTTTTACATCATTAAAAAAATGAATGAACTGGGATGAGGAGAAGGTTCAGTAGGAAAAACACTTGATGCACAAACTTGAGAATCTGAGTTTGGATCCCCAGAACCCACATATAGGCGGATGCAGCAGGGTAGGTCTATAATCCTGGCACCCCTACAGCGAGGTAAAAGGCCAAGACAGTTGGTCTGGTACTCACAGCAGAGGACAAGGGACACTGTCTCATACAAGGTGAAAGGCGAGGCCCACTACTGGAAGTTGTTCTCTGACCTCCACGTGTGTGCTATGGTGTGCACATACACATACTTACAGGTGTATAAACTAAGCCAGCCAATGGAAGTATATACCACTGGGGAGGCTGAGGCAGGAGGATCATGAGTTTGAAGCTCATCTGGGCTACATAAGACACTGTCTGAAAAGAAAAGTCTTAGAATATTTGTCTCTTTGGCAATATTAGATCAACTTTACAGACCTCATACTTAATGGAAGGGGAAACCCAATCAAAAGACACACATAGAATTACATGTTTATAGAGTCCATAAACCAACTAATCTTGGGTGACAAGAACAGTCCCCAGTGGAAGAGAAGAAGGTATTGGAGAGATTGGGGATCGTCTGGTACAGATGATATTCCAGCTACTTTTGTGGGTTATGGGTTAACAGAGCCATCCTTTGTGGCTGTTCATACAGCTGTATGCACGTGCTGGGGCTATCCTAATGCACATTATATTTAGCATTTTTAAAGTTTATTTGCTAGTGAGTAATGCAGTCACGGAGGTCCGTAACCATCTCAGGTGAGCCTCTGTGCTCACCTCTAAAGTGTATGTCATGAGACCCACTCCCAATGAGCCCTCTGAGTCACAAACGAAGTGACTTAACAAGCCCCTCCCAGAGCTGGCTGCACACAGCGCCTCCTCTGTAATCTGGTGAAGGGGTGATGCTCCTGGGCTGTTCGCTGCTAGCATTACCAGGGTTTATCTTCTTGCAATAGCAGCCGGTTCTCTTCCTGTGCTTGACTTTTTTTAAAAAATGTTTATTTATTTATTATGTATACAGAAGATGGCACCAGATCTCACTACAGATGGCTGTGAGCCACCATGTGGTTGCTGGGAATTGAACTCAGTCCTCTGGAAGAGCAGCCAGTGCTCTTAACCACTGAGCCATCTCTCCAGCCCTCTTCCTGTGCTTGAGAGCCAGCAGCAAACGTGGGGATTTTTCAAGGCCTCTTGGATCTGGGTCCCAAAGTGTGTTTACAGGCCCCTGGTCTATAAATCTACAAAAGTTCTTATCTAATATAGACTGTGAGGTGTGTGTGTGTGTGTGTGTGTGTGTGTGTGTGTGTGTGTGTGTGTGTGTGCTTGTGTGTGTGGAGGCCAGAAGTCAACCTTGGATGTCATTCCTCAGGCATTGTTCATATTGATTTGTTTGGTTGATTGGTTGCTGCTGTTTCAGATGGATTTTACTTTATGAGTATTTTGCCAGCATGTGTATAGAGGGCATCAGATCCTCTGAAACTGGAGTTACGGGTGGCTGTGAACCCTATATGGGTGCTGGAACCAAACTTGCATACTCAAAAAACTAAAACAAAAACAAGTGCTATTAACCACTGAGTCGTTCATCCAGTCCTTCTCTGTCTCTCTGGTCCCACACCTTGTTTTCTCAGACAGGGTATCTCACTACATGAAGCTCATCACATAGTTGAGGCTGGCCAGCCAGTGAATCCCAAGGAGCTTCCTTTCATAGCTCTGCCCCTCCAGTGCTGGGATTCCAGCATGCCTGGTTCTTTACATACGTTCTAGGGATCTGGGTCCCATAAGAGCAAGGCTGCGATCCTCTGTGGTAGAGCCGAGGGTGGAGGCAGCCCCTGTTAGGAGCAGCTCTTCAGAGCTCTGCTGACCCTCTGCTCCAACTGCTACTGCCTGGAAAGATGTGTTGGTGGTGGTCACCATATGGCTTTCTCTTTTTTCTGTCTCTTGCTGGGTTGGGATTGCCAGAGAGCAGAATTTGGTGACAGCTTTCAGGTTGGATTTGCCAGCAAGGACGTTTGGCTTGGTGTGGGGTTTTCCATGGTACAGCTGGCCCACAGCCTTGAATTTCTTCTGGTTTTTGGTGATCCCACTGCATTGCCCAAATGGTGTCCTGCATGGGACATCCTCCAAGTTAGGAGTTGTTTGTACACACATTGAGAACAGCGAATTCTTGGGTGCTCAGCCTTTGCAGTGACATTGGGTCATCTTAATCTCCATGCAAACACGCGCTGAGCAGCATCGATTTACAAAGCATCATTCTCCATGTCACCAGCGGTACAAGGAGACACCAAGCCTCCTGTGGCCTTCAGACAGTTACAGTCTCCGACAGATAAGACTTGCATGCATAGTTCATTTGCCTGTCTCGTTCATACCAGTCAGGCTTCTTGGAAACATGTTTTAAAAATCAACCCTGGATCGGTTATGTGAGGGGTGAGAGGGAAGCTAGAGGATCCAGCTTAGGACGTAAGAGGTTCAGGAAGGGGAAACAGCCTGGCCACCACTGGTCACTCAGCTGGGTTTGCTGAACCATCTCTACTCTCCAGACCATCACCCTCAATCCACGGCTCATGGTCTTTGCATCACTGACATTCACTGAGTAGACCATTATGAGATGCCCCAGTGGTTTCTGAGCTGAAGCAGAATGAACTCTTAGCTCTCATGAAGCTGACATCCTATGGTGTCCCCACCCCCAGGCCCTGAAAGCTTGAGTTCCTCTTGTTCTGGCTGTTTCATGGCCCAAAATGCTCTCCTTCATTCAAAAATCAAGACATTGACACTGGGCTATTAAAAAAAAAAAAAAAAAAAAAAGACAGCTTCCCCTGCAGAGTCTAGAAAATGGAGAGAGAAGGGCTGGAGAGGTGGTTCCGTGGGTAAGAGCCAAGCGTAAGTATCCAAGTCTGGACCCAAGCACCCACGTAAAAATCTGGGTGTCACAGCACACACCTGGAACCCCAGGGCTGTGGGGGGCAGAGTCAGGACTACTTGGCCTTTCTGGCTGTCATCTTAGCTCCAGGTTCATGGGGACCCTGTCTCACTGGAACGAGGTGGAGACTGGGTAAGATCAGACACTTAGCATCTTCCACTGACCCACACACTGGTGTGACAGGTACATGAACCCACACGTACAACACTACATACGCACAAATGTGGAGAGAATGAGGGGATCTCCCAGGCTTACTTCCATAAGCCTCCTTTCAGGCAGGGTGGCAATGGCTGGGGACAGGGTTAGAAGCTCAAGGAGGCAGGCACCTTCAGGGATAACCCTATGGGCAGGGCCCCTCACAGTGTCCTTTCCTTCGGATGTGGCTAAAGCTATTTGGGGAAAAGAAACCAAGTGGGCCCAGGAGTATTCACATCTGCCATCTTTTTTTTTTTTTCTTGAACCATGACTTTAAACTGATCATGCTCAGTCATGTGCATCTTAAAATGAGCATGCGCCAGAGTGAGCCTGCCCCGAAGCCCTTTTCCATCTGAATGTTTATGGGCTCTTTAGATAAAAGCCACCCCTCCCTCACTCCTTTGTTCCTCCTGTGCTCTTCTTACTTTCCTCTGGTATTAAACCTCTCCTCTCTCTCTTAGCTTTTGCCCATTCAATCCACTGTGTTTAGTCACAGCACGGAGTATCCATGTGTCCAGAATAGAAAGGTATATCTAAGGAGGAAAGTGTGCCCTGAGCATACTGTGTTAGAAGATCATCCCACGCTACAACTGCCAAAGAGACCTAGGAAAACACACCCATCCCTGAAGCCCTGGGAAGGGGTGTTTTACCAGTGGCTGTTTGGGGGCGTGGTTTTGGAAGAGTAGTTGGAAGGGGATACAAATGGTTGTTCACATGTTTGTCCCATTCATCCAGAAGTGGCTGGAACAAATTCTACCAGCTGCAGAGGGCAGGGTACCACCCAGTGGCTAGCCCAGCACTGAGGGAAGGCAGTAGAGGTTAGTCACCCAGAGCGGAACCCAGTGTGCCTGCAAGAAGCTAAGGCCAACCATTCCATCAGGAGAAGAGAGGGCTTATCACCTCGGTGTGTCATTCTGTTCTTCTGCAAAGATGAGAAAGTGGAGTCCACAGAGCTAAAGCAAGTGGTTCTTGATGGCTCTTCTGCTTTCCTTCCACTGCCGCGGTAAAGCCCCCACCCGAAGCAACCTGGGGAGGAAAGAGTTTATTTCAGCTTCTATCAGTCACCACTGATGAGAGCCAGGGCAAGGACTCAAGCAGGAACTGAAGCAAAAACCATGGAGAAGCACTGCTTGCTGGTTCCGTTACAGGCCCGTGCTTAGCTAGCTGTCTCAATACAGCCCAGGACTGCCTGCCTAGAGACGGTGCTGCCCACAGTGGGCTGGGCCTCCCCAGTCAATTAGACATGGCCATGGGCCAATCTGACCTAGGCAATTCCTCAGTTGAGGTTTGTCTTCTTGGATGACTCTAGGTTGTGTCAAATTCACAAGGCTGATAGGACAACGATGAGCTGGGATGAGGACAGAGGAGGAGGGCAAGAGACACGAGGAAACAGATTGGATGCAGCATTGGGCGCTGACTGTGCTACCTTGGGTGAGTCTCTTAAGTTCTCTGAGTCTATTTGATTGTCAATAAAATGAGGATGACTCTTGACAGGTAAAGGTGAATGAGGTAAAGCATATGATAGTCCTTTATAAAGCGCCTTGTCAATAAAAAGAATGAAATTTATTCTCCTTTAATAAATAGATATGACTAATGTTATCCATAAATTGTTGTGTAGATGTTCACATATAACTGCACCCCACTGTCATATTCCACTCTGGCACAAGTCCTGCTGGGCCCCCCAATATAAGCTGTGGCCAGAGAATCATCTGACCTACACTCTCCATAGGTCAACTTGGAGGTGATAAATCTTTTGTATCGACCCAGAAGAAGGCTTCAGCAACAAAGACCAATTCAGTATCTGAATAAATTACAAATTGTCCCTGTGGCAAATTCCTCAGGCTACACAAGGCATCCCAGTTCTTCAGATGGGAAGGGAAGAGCCCGGCTGGACCTGAGCCCAACTGTGTCCATCCGGCCTGGGAAAGGCGGAACACATCCCAGCTGACCACATGAAACAATCTCTATGAGACCCAGATGTCTGGTGGGCGTGGTTCTGTTTAAAAGCCTTCTGTGTCTGCTCCACAAACTCCTTCTTCCGCAGTCTATCTGACTCAGTGGCCTGAGGGAGGTGTTGTTGGTGTCTGGGTAGTCAGTACAAGAGGGCTGGATTTCTCCCAGTGTCTGGGTAGCAGTACGTGGGGGCTGGATTTCTCCCAGTGGCCATTGTCTTCCATGCCTGCTGAGTGCTGCCTGCTTAGCTAATGGTTCTTGTTTAAATTAAAGTGAGTTAAAATTAATTTTGGTTGGGGAACTCCAAAGCTCCCTCGTGAGATTAAGTGGAAACACCCTAGGGTGATATAAAATTGAGGCTGGGCATTGCTACATTGGAGTACTGTGCTAAGGAGCTGAAGGTCAGGGGTCCAGTCCCTTCATGAAAGGAACAGTTCATTTCACTCTGCCTTGTGACCTCAGAGGCCACCCTTAACCTTGGCCATCTGCCTCTGAGAAGAGCCTCCAGTCACCAACAGGACAAAGTGAGAGGGAAAGACCTGACCCATGCAAACCTATCAACCCCATTAGAAAGATGACCCAAAACATGACCCTTGATCACATGCCAGCATTTTTAATTCTGCAGGTGAAAGTTATTACATTTATGTTAGCACAAGCACATCAAAATACAGATGGGACCAATGAATCAGATGTCCTGGAATCCAGGATCGCTAAGGCCTGGGTCTTAGTTTCTGAGTTGGGCTAACTGATAGAGAGGAAGCTAAACAAGTGTGATATGTACATGATGGCCACCCTGTCAGTTTTATTCAACCTTAAGAGGGGCACAACTGGTGTGGATAACTACAACCAACAGATAATACAGGGAGGGGGCTGGAGAGACAACCTCAGCAGTTACGAGCTCCTGCTGCTCCTGCAGAGGACCAAAGTTTGGTTCCTAGCCCCCAAAATTGGAGGCTCACAAGTTCCAGGGGAATCTGATGTCCTCTTCTAGCCTCAGTGGGTACCTGCAGTTGCGCGCGCGCGCGCGCACACACACACACACACACACACACACACACACACTCCTCATCATCATCATCATCATCACCACAATGTGGAGAACTAGGGCTCTGAACAGTTATTATTCAAAGCCCCCATGGATTCTTCATCCTCAGAGTTTCAGATTTATCTCCCAGACAGCCCTCCTGCCTTTATATCCATGAAGGCATCATCTCATTGGAGAGGGAAGTCATCTGCATCCTTGAAATAATTTGATGTTCATACATCAGTGGGAAGACGGTGTCATCTGGTTTTCTTGGGGGGCTCACTCCCAGGCCATGCTCCAGTGGGTGGGGCTCTCTTCCTCTCACATCTCTTTCCTTGAGGACATCTATGCTTGGCCCATGACAGAGTCTACTATTGCACCGGATTGGGTCACAAGTTACTCACTCTCTGCAAAGAAAGAGTTTGGATGCCTGAGTAATCTGGGAATCCACTCACTGTTTCCAGCAAGTATTTGTTATATGTTGAACAACCTGTGTCATCCTCCTGACTAACAGCTAGCAAGCCACACAGTCTATCTTCATGTCACTACAGTCTAGCAAGTCGGTCAAAGCCTCAAGACTAGATCAGTCACAACTCACACACTATAGTGCTAACAAAACCTCAAAGCAATATGGTTTGGCAGGGTGTGGCAGTTCACACCTTCAATCCTAGCACTCAGGAGGGTGGGGCAAGATCACCGTGTGTGTAAAGCCAGCGTGGTGTATATTCAAGTTTCAGGCCAGCTAGGACTATATAGCAAGACTTTGTCCTTCTGTGTCCACACCCTTCCCAAGAATACAGTTCAGATAAGATGGGATTTTATTGTCTCTTATATACAAAGTGGAGAGTGAGCAACAGAGATGGGGTACCTTCCCTGTTCTGACTCTGAGCACGTATTCTTCATCAGTTAGCCCATGCTCGTTCACCACCATTTCCACAATCTAGCATGGAAAGGAGAAAGGTAGGTAGGACGGTCGGTCCATTTGGATAGTCTATTTGATTGGATTCAGAAACACTTAGGTATGCTTAATCCTGCGGTTCTCAGGATTGATACAAATGCTGCCCAACACATTTGTAGATGAAGACATCATGTCACCATGGTGAAGGGTCGTGCACCGTTGAGCCCTAGGGCAATAGTGAAGCCCATCTTTGGATATGTCTGTGAGAGTGCTTCCAAAGGAGACCCACCCCAAGTATGAGTAGCACCATCTCATGGGCTGGGGTCTCAGAATGAATAAAAAAGATGGCTTCCTCACCATCATGGACTGTACCCTGGAACCATGAGCCAAATAAATCGTTCCTCATTTGAATTGCATAAAGTTGGTTATTTTGGCCACAACATAAGCAAGAAAACTAGTACAATTTCTGAATTGAAACTTTCACTAACAAGGTTCAGGAAGACCTCCCCAAGATCATAGAAGCACCCAGGGGGGTGGATTCTGATCATCAAGGCTGCCTGAAGATCTCCCATCTCAGAGCTTCCTGAAAGTCCCACAGAGAGCCCCAGGGTTCAAGCATTCATGAACCATGAGTAAAATCACCGATGCTGGGGTGGGCTTTCAGTGGTACACCTGCTTTTAAAACATCCACGTTCCCGTAAGTAACCCTCCACACACTCCTGTAAGTGAGCCCAGTGAACTCATGGGTCCAACAAGTGGAGTATGGAGTAACTGTCACTTTGGTCTCTCATCAGTTCCCTATCTGGTGTGTGTGTGTGTGTGTATGTGTGTGTGTGTGTGCGTGTGTGTGTGTGTGTGTGTGTGTGTGGTCTCTGCAGGGAAAGTCTTGCACAACACATAGCTCCACCACCTCCATACAACACATAACCCCACCTATTGGAAGCCACGCTATTTTTCTTATGACCTGCAGAAACCTAGGAGAAGCGTTTTCCTGAGGTAGCCAGCTGCCTGGCTGTACTTGAAATCATTGTGCACGAAGGTGGGATGGTAAGGAGAACAGGGGGAGGAGGCATCTCCCGTGAGCAAGTAGCCAAAGACTCCAGCTCTCCAAATCTAGATGAGAAGGTCAAAGCTGAACAGATAGGGAGAGCTACAAATGCGCAGAGCTGGTGGAGGGGAGGGGCTGGAGGAAGGAGGAATGATGTCAGTGAAAACTGGAATGCTGGTTCTGAGGCCGATGCAGGTGTCACCCTTGGGAAGGATGAAAGGACAGGACTCAGAGGCAGATCAGACTTGATGAGCTCCTAAAGACTCGTGTTCCAAGACTGTCCAAATGCAAAGTTCTAAGAAGATCTCTGCTGCTGCCTGTTTGTGATGCCAACTCATTGCCTTGCCAACCATTCCCACAGCCATGTTGGTGCTGATGCTGATGATGGAGGTGTGGATGCTGATGCATGGGTTTCCTCACTGGAGCAGCCCTGGATTCCCTTAGCATCCTCAAACAAAGGAACCTAAAAAGTGAAATCTTTAATTGGTGCCATACTAATTAGTCAAGAGAGGAATTCCCACCAAAGAGCCCCAGGTGTTTGAAAGTGGAGGCAAGTAAGAGCCAAGCCACCCCCATGGAATGTAAGCCTGGGACTCAGCAGGACTCATCTTCTAGCTTGGCCGCAAACATGTTACAGATTCACAAAATGCTTTCACAATACCTTGCTTCAGCCCCTGTGCTGTTGTGAAGTGTGGTAGCTTCTAGAGCTATTCTCTTCATGCAGGAGAACAAGACAGGCCATGTGCTAAATGGTTGTGACAACTTGACACAAGCTGGAATCATCTGAGAAGAGGGAACCTCAACTGAGGCATTGTCTCCATCATATTGGCCTGTAGGCATGTCTGTGGGGGCATTTTCTTGATTAATAATTGATGTTGGAGGGCTCAGCCCACTGGGGTAGGGAAGACCCTCTTCCTAGGTTTCTGGAGGCCCTAGGAAATAGGATGGTTTCTGAGAGGTGGAGCTATGTGTTGTCTGAGACTTTTCCTGAGGAACACACACACACACACACACACACACACACACACACACACACACACACACGGCGGGTGGGGGGACCTACTCATCTCAGATAGGGAACTGATGATAGGCCAGTATAACCATTACACCATAGTCCACTTGTTAGACCGATGAGTTTACTGGGCTCACCAACAGGAGTGTGTGTGGAAGGTTATAGAAGCATGGATGAGTTGAAAGCAGGATCCCCTAGGCTATGGATCCTGAGCAGGCCGAGGAAGCCATGATGAGCAAGCAAGTAAGCAAAATTACTCCATGACCTCTCCAATTCCTGCCTCCAGGTTCCTGCCCTGCTTGAATTCCTGCTGACTTCCCTCCATGATGGACTGTGATGGAGATGTGTATGCCAAATAAGCCATTTCCTCCCCAAGTTCCTTTTGGTCATGGTGTTTAGTAACAAAAGCCCTAACTAAAACAGGCCATTTATCCATTTAAGCCAGGTTGTCACCCACTGCTGAGGCTGGCGCAGATGCCCTCCTCCCCAGAGATCCCACCCCCGAGTTCACCTCTGTTGCATAAAATGCAAGCCAGTTTATTTCTGGGATTTTTTTCTCCCACACCATTTGGCACACTGTGCAGTGATGTCCTGTCTTAGCCATGTCTATCACTGTGATAGAACAGCGTGGCCAGGAAACTTGATTGGACTCTTGGCTCCAGAGAGCTAGAGCCCCTGGTCATCATGGCAGGAAGCATGGCAGCGGACATTCAAGCATGGCACTGGAGAAGCAGCTGAGAGCTTACATCTGACTCACAAGCAAGAGGCAGAGAGAGAGCTAACTGGGAATGGCGTGGACTTTTGAAACCTCAAAGCCCAACTCCCCAGTGCTCCAATAAGGCCACACCTGCTAATCCTTCCCAAAGAGTTCCCCCAGCTGGGGGACGATTTCAAGCGTTCAAATGTATGAGTCTGTGGAAGCCATTCACACGGAAACCACCCCATGCTCTAATACAGGTCAACTCTCAGAAGTGTGTCCCATCCATCATCCAGAACCCTTAACAGGTAAAGCAGACAAAGTGGAAGGTGACAGTTTTCTCTCCTTGGGAGTGGGTCCCGATGGTCGTCTCCCTTGAAATATTCAGGAGCAATCCATTTTCTATGTGTGTTTCTGGTGTGCTGTTGCTATGGAGAAGGAAGCATGCCTGTACTCTGGGAACACTGATGGGGATCACTTGTGGGAAATATTCATGGCACACTCACTGGTGTGGGAACATCAATGAGGAGTATTCATGGGAAGCATTTGTGGGGGTTACTCACGGAGCACTCAAGGGGAGCACTCAAACGAAACATTTATGTGGAACAGTCATAGGGAGCAGTCACAGAGGACCACTCATGGAGAGTACATGCAGGGAGGACTCATAGGGAGTATTCACGGAGCACTCAAGGGGAGCACTTGCAGAGAGAACTTATGAAGGAGCGCAAATGGGTAGTGCACATGGGGAAAACTTTCACGGACCACCTATAGAGAGTACTCCTGGAGGAATACCTCCAGCATCCCTCACTAGCAGCACTTACTGGGAATACTCAAAGGTACCAGCATGCCTTACTGAAATCACTCTGTTACTACATGGATGCTTTGGATAGGCCTTTCCTTAAAATTCTCACCCAGAAGCCCTGGGCTCCATGGAACTAAGTCAAATCTCAACCCTGGAGTTCTCCCTGGGACATGCAATCCAGACATTACTCTGAAACTCCTCCTCCTTCCTCCTTCTGGCCCCTCCCTCTCATCTCTGGCTCTCCTGCCTTCCCTCTCCCTCTCCTCATTCCTGCATGCCCCTCCTGTCTCCTTTGCATGTTCCCATGCCTCCTCCTGAGCGCCTCTAATTTAAGAGGCCACTCTTCCGGTTTCTTTCCTGTGCGCATGCCCAGTCCCACTCCGAGGGAGGCTAGCATGGCCTCCCTCAGGGTGGCTCCCTTCTCTTCAGACACTCCTGAGTGCACTGCCCGTCTGCACTGGACCGTCTACTTGGCATATCTAGTAGAATGTGTGTGAAGGAGGTCTCTGACTTCCCTAGTCAGAACATCTCTGGGGCTGGCATTTTCCCACATGCCCCAGACATAACTCCGATGTCCAACCTCGATCTCTTGGCAAATCTTATTGGCTGTATCTGCAAAGGAGATCCAAACTTGACCCTGCTTCCACCCTGACCAGAGACAACTTCCGCTTTCCCCGGATTGTTCCCAGAGCCCTGGAATCTGTGCCCCTGCTCCCACCATATCCACTTCTCTCTCAGCTGTGTATCCAGAGGGTTGCTGCTAATGCTGGAAGCAGACCGTGTCACATCTCCATACAAGAGATGGTTGCCACCTCCATTTGAGGAAGACCAAGGGCTCAAGATGGCCTTTGTCACTGTCCTATTGCTGTGAAGAGACGCCATGACCAAGGCAACACTTACAAAGGAGAGCATTTGATTGGGGGCTAGCTTACAGTTTCAGAGGCTTAGTCCATTGTCATCATGCCAGGAAATATGGCAGCAGGGAGCTGGAGAAGCAGCTAAGAGCTACATCCTTATCCAGAGGCAGAGAGAGAGAGAGAGAGAGAGAGAGAGAGAGAGAGAGAGAGAGAGAGAGAGAGAGAGAG